CTGTTTTGTTTTCACTGCAAACGGGCGTATCGCGCCATCTTCGCGCAGGAGTCCGCGCGCGTGGCGGGGGCAGGGATCATCTGTCTCTGGCTGCGCTCTCCGCGACGGGGCGGGCTGCTCCAGCCGCCATCTCCGCAGACGTCCAAGCGTTAACTTGGTAAATACATCGCGCCCAGGTGTCGGTCGACAAATGTCGCGCAGGTCATCGCCAATCACGTCGAGGCAAGCGCGTCCATCCGTCAAGACCTGCAGTATCTTCATATCCTCGTGGAACTGGTGTCGCCACGGGTTGTCCACATGCGCGCGTGCAGGTCGCGCCGGCCCCGCGGGTGCCCACGCGAACTCGACCGTGGACGTCTCGCACTGGAGCTTGCCGAATACGCTCGCAAGTAGTTGGGCGTGGCGTTCAGTTTCTTTGGCCACTCGTTGCCATCGCTGCAGGCGAAGTAGATGGGGGTCATGAGAAGGCGGGGCCATCTTCAGCCTTTTCCAGACCTCGATGAATGCGATGGTTCTGACGACCTCCTTGGTACCACTCCCATTGTTGTCGTCAGCTGTCCGCTTGGCGCAGGCAGCGCCTTGCAGCAGAGCGCGAGCGCAATGGGTAGCGCGCGCGCGCAGTCGCGCACAATTGCGGCGCCGTAAGGACCCGTGCCCGAAGCCCAGAAAGTGCAGCAGGGATAGCCTGGCATCGAAAAACCATCTTCCGTCGCCCCAGGTATCTGCATGTGGCGCAGAAGTGCCCCATACTGCGCAGCCCTCGAGCAGCGGCAACGCAGCGTGCCTGGAGCTTGGCGCCGTTGAGGGGCTTGCATCGCGGAGCCGAGACATGTTTGGGCGCCCGAGTTATCCGGGGTAACTCGGGCCCGGGGTAACTCGGGTTTGGACTCCCGAACAACGAACCCGAGTTATCCCTGACCCGAGTTACCCCGGATGATTCGGGGCTCTGGACGCCCGAGTTATCCGGGGCAACTCGGGCCCGGGGTAACTCGGGTTTGGATTCCCGAAAAACGAACCCGAGTCATCCCTGACCCGAGTTACCCCTGATGATTCGGGGCTCTGAAATGTCGTGGAGTGCTGCACTTCGCCGTCGATCTTGATCGTGCATAGCGTAGTGAACGCGCGTAGCGATGTGCCCCCTTGGCATTGAAGGTGGGTAGGACAGCTTTCTTCCCTCGATCTCGTGGAGCTCATGCTTGAGGATACTGTCCGAGTTCCGTATCTTGTAGGCTGCCACCCGGGCGTCGCGGCAAAGGTGGGTCTTCGTGACGTCGGCGTTCAGCAACTCATTCCAGGCCGCGGTCGGCGGCGTGAATGACGCTCGGAACTTGATCGCGGCGTCCGAATCGCCCACAAAACAAACCACTGTGTTCTGATATGCTTGTGTCAATTCCGTCCGTGATGACGCATGCAGCTCGTCGGTGTCGTCCCTTCATTATGGTGCAGTCACCAGGCAGGTAGATGACAGCAGATGGCGCCCACTGCTGCGTCGAGGTGGGGGTGGTCGACCGAGGCGAAGGCATTCGTCATGTCGTGCTTGGTGGTGACGTGGCTAAGTCGTAACTGTTGTAGTCTCCACTGCAGAGCGAGTCCGAGTGTAATGGCAGCAGATCTGGAACGTGCCCGTACATAGCCGTGCTCAGTGTCGTCGATGGGCGTTGTCGTCAGCGTCTGTCTGGATGCGACCCAAGCTTTGCCGAAGGGGCATAGCCTGTGGAGAAGTCGTGTGCCTCGTGTGCGTGGTTTGTTGTTCCTCTTGCTCACCTGGTACGTCTGCGATAGGTTCCACCACGCATTGTGTCGTTGATACTGGCGAGCAGCGGCAAGTTGTGTGAAGATAGCGTCGTGCAGTAGGGGTCCAGGAAAACACTTGTCGGGACCAGTCGCTTGTGTGTTTTCATTGTTTCGATCCACCAGGAGCAACGCCCATGTCGGCTGGAAGTGACCACTCAGGTGCTGCGCGTCGTCGTAGATATACCTATACACAGAGATACGCACCACGGAGACCAGGTGAGACCGCGGCCATGTGCTGCGCCCTGGCCACCCGCGCAGTGGCCCGTGAAGCGCAGGCCGCCCATGCCGATCGGACTCACCGCCTCGCAGCAAGAAGTTGGCAGCGCTGCCTTTGGACACGGGCTGCTCGAGTCCATCGGCCATGATCGCTTGGCCTCCATGCCAGCAGCGCGCTGGCTCGTCGCGCCGCGCCCTGGGCCTGGCCGCCAGGGGGGGCGGCCGGCCACGCAGCGCAAGGCTTCCGCTGGGCGCAGCGGGCCCGTCTCGGGACCTTCGCGGCGCGGCGCGAGGAGAGTGCGCGACAGGCGGGCCCGCGCGACTAGATCGAGATCAAGAACGAGGACGCGAGGTTTCTGGGCCTCGACGGGCCCCAACTATGCTGGAACTGCGACCATGAGACGAAGGACTCCTGCTCGGACTGCGAGGCGCGCTGCGCGGCGAGCGAGCGGAACGAGAAGCAGATGAGCGCACAGGACAAGGCTACTTTGATCGAGGTGAAGCGCCTCGAGCTCTAGAGTTCCTTCGACAACCAAGTCTGGGAGCGACACGCGAGCGAGGTTCATGGCCCAAACAAAATACTGAGGGCCCGGTTCCTACTGATGAGGTCACGGGAACCCGACGGGAGCAACCGGCACAGGCACAGCTGGTGATCCAAGGCTTTCGGGATCCAGACAGGACAGCCAGGAAGCCGGCCAACTCCTCACCTACAATGACACGCTTTAGCAGGACCGTCATCGTGCTCTACAGTCGCATGTAGAGCTGGACCCTTCCCACCGCTGGCGCAAGCACCGCGCTCCTACAAGACGAGCGCTCGGACCGTGGCATCTCGGTGCTTTCACTGGCGGAAGCGTGCAAGATAAGCGCCTCCTCGCCGGGTGCGAGGATGAAGCTGATCCAAAGTATGCACGGGGCGGGCGCTGCACCTGGGAACTGGCGGGAGGCCACAGGCTTCGTGGTCCGTCCCTTGGGCACCTGCCTCTTCCTCAGGTACCACGTCCAGGAGGACAAGCACGACAGGCGCTTCGACGGCGCAGTTGGCCTGCGCGTCCACGACGTGCTCGGATGCGGCAGCGACATGAAAGGCGACGTCTGCTTCGCCTCGCTCTACTTCAGGACGTGGGAGGGTACCGAGAACATCCCGTGAATGTTGCAGGCAACTCGCCCATGGGCTTCTGTGGCAACCGGCTCGGCCGGAGGACGGATGGCGACTATACCAGGTCAGCTACGCGACCTGCATCGAGGCACTGAAGCCCAGCACAATCAGAAAAAACTGGGCCAACGACCTCAAATTGGCCACCGCGGAGGGCGAGCGCCGACAGCTGAGAGGCTTGATTCGAGCAGGGGATCGGCTACAGAATCGATTTACCCCACATTGATTTTCCACGATCGAGCCTACCACGAACACGCAAGGATGCTTCGCAAATCTACCGAGAATTCTGAGCATTTGTCCGCAGACTCGACGAAGAAATGAATTCTGGGGTAGATCAACTCTGCAGCCGATCCCCTGCTCGATTGCTGGGAAGCTTGGCCTGGCCCAGCAGCCGGGCGGCGCCCCAAAGGCAGTGCAGCGCCAGCCTCGGGCAAGGAGGACGGGTAGGGCAGCAGCGGCACCAAGGGCACCACCCCGCAGGCTTCCTGCGGGAGGCCAGCCAGGCCTCGGGGTCCGCGAGGGCCACCAGCGACGTGCTCCAGCAACGACGTGCGCCAGGCCTTCCCCGAAAACACGCGACGACCCCGACGAAGTGAGCTTCATCAACATGCCAGACGCCGCGTGGGATGCGAGAGAGGCGGCGGCTCACAAGGAGGCGAGTTACCTGGTCACGGCGGCGCACGAGCGCGTGCTTCCCGGTGAGACCGTCAAGCACGTGGAGATCGACTGGCGCTCCTAGAGGCTGCCCAGGGTCAGCAGGTCACCGCTGGCGAGGCCCAGGCCGCAGCTGGCTGGATGGATGCGTTGGAGCACAGTGGAGGCCAGCCCACAAGAAACCTTCCACGAGAAACCCAACCCTGAGACCCCAGGACGTCCATCGATTTTTGGCGCGGGAACGTCACGCCTTCCACGGCAGAACCATCGAAACCCAAGAAACCCAGGGCACCCTGGAGACAAGCAGGGTGTTTTTTGGCATGGGCCTCCACTGTGTGCGATGGTGCACTGCACCTTGCCGCACGACCCGACCAGGGACCCCGTGCCCAACGGCACCATGCAGGTGCTCGGCGACGCCAAGGCACTCTGCGCCGCGGCCCAGAAGCCACACGTGCACAACCTTCGACGAGGCGGGGACCGACACCGCGGCTCGGGTGCTGAAGGAGCGCGTGACTGCCGGTGCGACGGGCAGGCATTGGGTCAGTTGTGCGGCGCGATCCTCCGACCCCATCTGCTCGAATCCAATTGTGGGGGCAGGGAGGAAGTACGGAGGACGAGGAGGAGGAGGAGGAGGAGCAGGAGGAGGAGGAGGAGGAGAAGGAGAAAGAGGAGAAGGAGGAGGAGCAGGAGCAGCAGGAGAAGGAGAGAAAGGGAGGAGAGAGGAGGGGGATGAAGGATGAAGGACCTCCTCATCATTCCTCCTCCTACTCCTCATCCTTCTCTTTGGGAAAACCAGAAAATATCCATACCGCTACTCCCTGGACCTCTCCCAGGGTGCGTTCTGACCATCACCTCGAGGCGACTCTGGCGGTGGCGACCAGGGCCTCCCGGGAGGCTCTAAAGGGGAAAACGAGGCAAGGGTAGCAGTATGGATACCTGTCCTCCTCCGACTTCTGGTTCCGAAGCGGCGAGAGCGCGCTGGTCGGGGATCTGCTGACCTGGATCAATCCAGACCCGGGTCAGTCAGACCTTGCAAGATCCTGCAAGATCCTGATCCTGCCCCAAGCCCGGGTCAATGCGACCGCGACCCTGCAAGATCGGGCGCTCTGGCTCACCCCCGTTTGCATTGACCCCCGTCTCAAGGCTCCCGAGCTGGACCGGCCCCGCAACGTCCGCCAGCGGCCTTTGCGTCGATGTACTGCCACTGGCACTCCCGCGAAGCCGCTGGCTGCTTCGGCGCTGGTGGGGCCTCCCCAGCTCCCAGGGGCGGCCCCAGCCACGGGGGGAGCTCGTCTTCGCACGCTCCTCCCTCCTCCCTCCTCCCTCCTCCCTCCTCCTCTTCCTCTTTCTCCCTCCTCCCTCCTCCTCCTTCCCTTACCCTTAGCCTTATAAGTACCTCCCTTCTGCCTCCTCTTTGCTCCCTCCTCCCTCCTGCATCCCTCCTCCCTCCTCCCGCCTCCCTCATCCCTCCTCCTCTTTCCCCTCCTGCCTCCTCCCCCATCTCTTGTCCTTATCCTTGTCCTTATGAACAACTCCTCCCCATCGCGCCCTCCAGTCCCTCCTCCTCCCTCACTTTATCTTTACTCTGATGAATAATTATTGCCTGCCGCGCCCCTGGACGTGTTGGTAGGGCGGGCTGGGCATTTCGCCTGAGACTTCCTCCCCATGTATGATCCTGAAGCTTGGCATTTGCAGCAGTTTCAATGGAGGGCGGGCCGCTTTCAAAACGTGGCTCCCGCCTCAGGGTCAAGCACATTCGTCTCAGAAGTCTGCAGGAGCTTCACGGCTGGAGGGCGGGCCGTTTTTGTGTGGCTCTCGACTTAGCGCTGCGCGCACTCGTCATACAAGTGTGCAGCAGCTTGCAAGACCGATTGCGGCTGCATCGCAAGCCGTGGGTATCGCCTCAGCGCCGAGCGCATTCGCCTTAGTTTGCAGCAGTGTCAAGGGTTCGTATGGCTGAAGTTCCAGGAATGTTCTGGCTGAAGTTGGGATGGCCAGGACGCAGCATTCACGTGGCATCGCTGTTGGCATCGCAAGAATTGCGTTCTGGCGCCAATCAGGAATGTCCAGACGAAACAAGCAGCGTTAGTCTCAGGAATCGTGTTTGGGCACGACTGAAAATTCACAGACGGGAGTCTTCCAATAAGGTACTTCCCGCACTGAAGATACATGATTGCAGGGACCTATGAAGGGGAGAGGGAATGTTTATTGCACCATCGTTGAATCTTGCTTGGGTTTACACTGGTCCTCCTCCTCCTCCTCCTCCTGCTCTTCCTCCTCTCCTCCTCCTTTTCCTCCTCCTTCTCCTCCCTCCCTCCCTCCCTCCCTCCTCCCTCCCTCGCTCCCTCCCCCCTCCCTCTCTTCTCCTCTCCTGTTCCTCCTCCTCCTCCTCCTCCCTCTTCCCTCATTCCTCCCCCTCTTCCACCCTCCTCCCTCATTCATCCTGTTCCCCCCTCTTTGCCCTCCTCCTCCTCCTCCTCCTGTTCCCTTTTCCACCCGATTGCCCCTACAGCCATCGTGCTACTGCGAATCTCGGGCCCCAAAACATAGCGCACCATACCGCTATAGCCGACCCGTACCACAAGGACGCCCGATATAAGGATGCAAGGGCCTTGGAAGGCCGTTTCGAAGCTTTGCGAGCGGGACGCGGCCAACGAAAGCGGCCAAGGATGGTCCGAGGAGGCAAGGATGTAAGGATACTCTTGAAAAACTTGCCCGCCCTTGCTGTGCAGGTTGACTGTAGCTTGAGGTCGGACATGCCCCCTACAGGCGGATTTTGGACCAAAAATAGAAAACAGTTAACACATAATCAAAAAATGATCAAGAAATCAACGAAAAACCGTCCCCAGACAATCTTTTGACTATTTTCGAATATTCCTCCTTTACGAGGCAACTTTACGAGGCAACTACTGGGAGGTTTTCGTCGGAAGGATTAAAGAAGATTAAGCGCCATTGGGGGGGACTGTTACGCCAGAATGGGCCTCGGATTAAGCCAGATTAAGCGGGATCAAGCGGGATTAAGCCGAATTAACCGGGATTCAAATGGATTTCGGACCAGGGCAAAATCAGACTTTGACCTGCCAGGAGTTCCATCCGAACCTCCTGTAGAGGGACTCGCCCGACTCAACTGTAGCTTGGCGCCCCGCCGCATCAGCGGTCTACGGCTCACTCCCACCTCTGCTCGGCTAGACGTAAGAGTGACCCTGGGTAAGAGTGACCTTTGGTGCGCAGCTTTGGGGGGCACGACGGAGCCAAACCCAAGGGCGCGGGCCGCTCATATCGCATCGTGCTCGGCGATCGGAGGGAGCCCGATGAGCCCGCACCAAAGGTCACTCCGGCGAAGGGTCACACGGCGGTCACACACGAGACGGCGCCGCCGCCCAGCCGGCGCGCCGCTGGCGCTCCCCCCCCCTGGGGGCGGGACCGCGCCCGCCGCCGCCGCCCGCCGCCGCCCGGCCCAGGTCCGAACCAGGTGAACGAAGAGAGAGAGAGAGAGAGAGAGACAACAACAACAAAACAAACCAAACATTAATACAACACAAAATAACGAACAACAAACATACTAAAGAGAAGAAGAGAAAGAAAGAGAGAGAGAGAGAGAGAGAGAGAGCGAGAGATAGAGATTTTGACAGTACGCACGAGATGAAGCCAGCCGAAGGCAACTGGCTGCTGCTCATACCTGATCAAACGAGGCTACCGGTAGCTACCTCACCCGCCACCGACCTCGCCCGTAATCCTCCGACCTCCCTCCTTCCATCCCCCCCTCCCTCCCTACATTTAAGTCGGACCTGTCCCCCTACAGGGGGATTCTTGACGAAAAACTGAAATTTCCCAAAAAATATTCCAAAAATGCTCAAACATAGTCAAAAAATGGTCACCAGACTATTTTTTTAACTATTTTTGAATATTCCTCCTGTAGAGGGACAGGCCCGATTTAACCCTACATCCTCCCCGCCCCCTCCCTCGCGCACCTCCTCCGTCCCTTTCCTCGCTCCCTTCATCGGGCGCCCCTGAGCGCACCAGTCTGCCGCCTGCGCGAAGGAGCACGGCGCCCACTTCCCCTTCGCCTGCTGACGCTGCCGCCCTGCCGTAAGTCGGCAATATTCAGAAATAGTCACAAATAGTTCAAAAAAATAGTCTGGGGACGATTTTTCTACTAGTTTTGACCATCTGGGGGTATTTTTGAATATTTCTTATTTCTCGTCCCAAATCCCGCTGTATGGGGGACAGACCCGACCTAAGCCCTGCCCACCTGCTCCGTCTCGGGGCCCGCCGGCCGACCCGGCCCAAGGCGTGGCTCGAGCTGGCACCGAGCGCGGCCAACGCCTGGTGCGCCGCGTTCTGCACGACCGCGGCCTCCAGACAGAGTGGGGTCGGGCATGTCCTCCTGCAGGCGGAAGTTGGACAACAAGTAAAACATAGTCACACATACGCAAAAATAGTTTCAACAGAAATGTAGAAACATCATCCCCTGGGTCATTTCTGACTACTCTTGAACATCCCGCCTGTAGAGGGACATGCCCGACCTGAAACCACATTCATGAACACTATAGCGCCCGGTTCTCCAAAGAACCCTCCCGGAGAACCCGGAGAAACCCCGGAGAACCCGGAGAACCCGGAGAACCCGGAGAACCCCGGGAGAACCCCCGCGGAGAACCCGGAGAACCCGGAGAACCTGGAGAACCCAGAGAACCCGGAGATCCCGGAGAACCCCCGGAGAACCCGGAGAACCCGGAGAACCTGGAGAACCCGGAGAACCTGGAGAACCCGGAGAACCCGGAGAACCCGGAGAACCCCCGGAGAACCCGGAGAACCCGGAGAACCCGGAAAACCCGGAGAACCCGGAGAACCCGGAGAACCCCCGGAGAACCCGGAGAACCCCCGGAGAACCCGGAGAACCCGGAGAACCCGGAGAACCCGGAGAACCCCCGGAGGAGAACCCGGAGAACCCGGAGAACCCGGAGAAGAACCCGGAGAACCTGGAGAACCCGGAAGAACCCAGAGAACCTCGGAGAACCCCCGGAGAACCCCGGAGAACCCGGAGAACGGAGAACCCGGAGAACCCGGAGAACCCGGAGAACCCGGAGAACCCGGAGAACCCGGAGAACCCCCGGAGAACCCGGAGAACCCGGAGAACCCGGAGAACCCGGAGAACCCGGAGAACCCGGAGAACCCGGAGAACCCCCGAGAACCCGGAGAACCCGGAGAACCCGGAGAAGAACCCCGGAGAACCCGGAGAACCTGGAGAACCCGGAGAACCCGGAGAACCCGGAGAACCCCGGAGAACCCGGAGAACCCGGAGAACCCCGGAGAATCGGAGAACCCGGAGAACCCGGAGACCCGGAGAACCCGGAGAACCTCGGAGAACCCGGAGAACTCGGAGAACCCCGGAGAACCCGGAGAGACCCTCCGGAGAACCCGGAGAACCCGGAGAACCTGGAGAACCGGAGAACCCTTGGAGACCCCGGAGAACCCGGAGAACCCCCGGAGAACCCCGGAGAACCCAGGAGAATCCGGAGAACCCCGGAGAACCCCGGAGAACCCGGAGAAACCCGGAGAACCCGGAGAACCGGAGAACCCCGGAGAACCCGGAGAACCCGGAGAACCCTCCGAGACCCGGAGGAAACCCTCCCGGAGAAGAAACCGGAGAACCCGGAGAACCCGGAGAACCCGGAGAATCCGGAGAACCCCGGAGAACCCGGAGAACCCGGAGAACCCGGAGAACCCGGAGAACCGAAGAACCCCGGAGAACCCGGAGAACCCCGGAGAACCCCGGAGAACCCGGAGAACCCGGAGAACCCGGAGAACCCGGAGAACCCGGAGAACCCGGAGAACCCGGAGAACCCCGGAGAACCCGGAGAACCCGGAGAACCCGGAGAACCCAGAGAACCCGGAGAACCCGGAGAACCCGGAGAACCCCGGAGAACCCGGAGCACCCGGAGCACCCGGAGAATCCGGAGAACCCCGGAGAACCCGGAGAACCCGGAGAACCCAGAGAACCCGGAGAACCCGGAGAACCCGGAGAACCTGGAGAACCTGGAGAACCCGGAGAACCCGGAGAACCCGGAGAACCCCGAAGAACCCGGAGAACCCGGAGAACCCCGGAGAACCAGGAGAACCCGGAGAACCCGGAGAACCCGGAGAACCCGGAGCACCCGAGAACCCCCGGAGAACCTGGAGAACCCCTGGAGAATCCCTGGAGAACCCCCGGAGAACCCAGAGAACCCCCGGAGAACCCGGAGAACCCCT